GAGATCACCCATCCTAACCTTCACCCTAAACCTCAAAAAATAACTAGCTTCTGAAATAAAATGTACCACAGCCAGCCCTACTTCCCAGCTAAAGAAAGCTCTCCCCAAATTTCCTCTATTTCAAATAATGAATGAAATAATGATGAAAATAAGTTTAAATGTAATTTAAATGCTTTGATGCCACTCTGAAAAACTGCTGGCTGCCTAAAGCACACAGATAGCACTGTAGCTCAGCTACCCAGAGCAGAACTCAGAGCAGAAGTGGGAAATGGCTGCAGGGAAAATGCTTATGAAGCCTCTGGAAAAAGAATTCCCTCACAACCTTTTCTGTAGTGCATTTGGCTGCCAACCCTGCCAATCCAGGACTCTCTAGGTCCCTCCCAGGGTTGCCTAGAGCTTCTGATTGGCAGCAGCAGGCTGCAAATGGCACAGGAGGCCCAAAAAGGGGTAGACAAATCAAAAATTGGTCAAAATCTGTCACTTAGTATTTGTCAGGCTCCCCTTATTGAATGAATACAAAGTGATGAATCAGAGATTTTCAACAAATATCACAATTCGGTTTTTTTATTCATTCCCATCTCTTGTTGGAAGATATATGAACAACTTTATACTTATTTATTTAGCCCATTGTCTTTGGTTTTCACTGGAGATCTTTCACAAACTTCTTGTTTCCTGCATCAGGTCCACTTACAATACTATCTTCATGCCTGGTCCTTGCCCCAAACCACAGTTATTGTACTTTGTTTCACTCCAAAATTATTTTGGTGGTTTCACTATGTTCATGTCTTAACCGCATGACATAATACCTTACAGAGAAACTGCATCTATTGACAAGTTCTACACTTTCGTGATCATAGTCCATCTATTCCAGATTATACATACTATGTTTATGGTGCCTTCAATTCTGTTTCCACCTGTAATTCCTTTACTAAAACTAATCCAGCTTTGCTACTGACATTTCTTTGTACAGTGGTGCCTCGCTTAACGAGCGCACCATTTAACGATGAATCCACATAGTGATCTATTTTTTTAGATCGCTAATGCGATCGCATTGCAATGTTCTGAATAGGCAAAACATCGCATTGCGATGATCGGTAAGCGTTTCACTTACCGATCTTCGCATTGCAATGTTTTTTTAAACAGCTGATTGGCGGTTCCAAAATGGCCGCCGGGTGCCCAAAATGGCCACTGCAAGTGTTTTCGCGCCCTGCCCTCGCTTGCCAAGGGCGCAAAAAATGGAGGCGCTATGGAGGAACTTCGCTGACCGGTGAGTTTGGGAGCCATAGGAATGCATTAAACGAAGTTTAATGCGTTCGTATGGCTTTTTCCGTTCCGTTTAGCGATGTCTCTGCATAGCGACAATTAATCCAGAACGGATTAACGTCGCTATGGGGGGCACCACTGTATCAGTATCAAAAACATACAATCCCTCACTCACTTTCTCAGTAGCGCCCCAATTACTTTGGTGCAACAATCACACTGTTATAACCAGTGCTTCAAGCCCTAATGCCGGCATCTGCAGTAATATTATCATCTGCTCTTCTTCCATCTTTGTGTTTCTCAGCATCTGTCTGGTTTCCTGTCATATCCATTTCTCATATTCCAGCAGGCTTACCACTGGTTTATCCTACTGTGATCTAACCATGTCAGTTCCATTCTGTTTTCACACATCATCTTCATTCAGACCATAAATCTGATTATTCTAACTAGTTCTCCTGATTGGCAGACCTGGTGTCATCCTCATTTTGAACTGCTGATTATGACAGCTAAATATCTTCCATTCCAAGATAAACTTACCACCCCACCTGCAGATGATCCCATATGTTCTGCAGTCCGTTGAAGCGGTGGTCCCCAACCTTGGGCCTCCAGATGTTCTTGGACTACAACTCCCAGAAGCTTTCACCACCACCTCTGCTGGCCAGGATTTCTGGGAGTTGAAGTCCAAGAACATCTGGAGGCCAAAGGTTGGGGAACCACTGTGTTAAAGCACCCAACATATAGGTTTTTACTTTATTACCATCTTTGCTTACAGCAGTTGAAACACCATAAACCATTATCTCATGAATTTCTTGCTCTCTAGAGTACTGACCTATAGTTCCTGAGGACAGCTGCGATTTTTGTTCAAGCATCCAGGTGCAGATGTGGTATTAATAGCTTGTTAAATGTTTATGTCTGATTGTATGACTGCTTCCATGCCAGCTGATAGATAGAGCTGATGTCTCAATGCAGTCGGCTGGAAAACTTATGTACTTCTAGCATTGTCTTTCAATATCGCTAGCTGTCAAGTATTTCTAAATTGTTATGATGTCTTCCAAAGGAAAAGATCTTGTGTTTTGTGATAATTTTTGGAGGACAAAAGAGGGTATCACCAATTTTGCGTTTGTATTCTATTTTGTATTGACCACATGGGAACTCTTCATTTCATTGGAATTACGAGGATATCTACACACACACACACACACACACACACACACACACACACACAAAAATACCAACAAGTATACACATGGAATCTCAACATCTGCAGAGCAGGACTGCAACCACTATGTAATAATATTATTTTGACTTTCATCTGACCCCTATTTACTCAATTACCATTCCAATTCCCAGATGGAGGGGTGAGGTTTTCTGTGTTACAACACCCCTCCCTGGCCAAGGAGAAACTTGTCCATTTCAAAGAAAGGCCAAAAGTGGAGGGATGCGTGTGCACATAGCCTGTGCCTCTTTGTTTGAAGAACTGAGGTTTTGCTCAATCCACAGCTGACTCAGCTGTAACCATAAAACAGAAAGTGTACTGTTTCTTGACTTACATCTAAGAGAGATGTACCTGGCAAACTCCACATTGCCAAGAACTTTTGGACTTTATGTCTAAGAGCAGCTTTCCTGGCAAAATTCATCTTGCTGTGAGCTTTTGGACAAAGTTCTGACAGTGTTACAAACGTGATAAAGTGGGTTTTTTTTTAAAAAAAATTTAATCCACAAAAGTGTGTGTACTGTACAATTTTTTTAGTGATCTACAATGGAATTGTCTATTTTTGCATTTGTATTTTATGTTGTATTGACCACAAGACTGCCCTGTATTTCACTGAATGTAGCAAGCTTTGCAATACAACATATTCTTTTCATGAAACAATAAAAGCTTTTAAAAAAGGTTTACAAGGTAAAATGCTATGATAGGAAATAGAGCCCAGCACAAATGCTGCTCCTCCCTGAAGCCAGAACCCCAGTATTTTAGTCACTGATGTTTCTTTATGCAGAAATGCTTTCTGTCCTATCTGCCCAGAGATAGACTTGCTGTTCATATATCCCATATCTATGATGCACAGAGATCATAATGAAGGAGGACAGCTTGCTAACTTGCCTTTTCAAGTAGTAATTTGCAAGTTTGTGCAATTCATGCTCCCTGCAGTTTAGAGCACATCTGTGTCATATTTCTATGGTCACTGTGGATGTAAAAGAGTAAAATACTGCCAATAGCACACTGCTTTTATTAAAAATTTAATGTGCTACACTAGTTAATGCTGTTCTGACTGCATCTGAAATAAGCATATTGTGTGGCTGGAAAAGGGCAACCAAAACATTCTAGTGCTAGAACAGCTCACTTATGAGAAAAGGCAGGATTGTTTAGCTTAGAAAAAAATGAGTAGAGGCCATGTGCTAGACATATATGAAATTATGGTCTTGAGAAGTTGAGAGGGTGAAGCATTTCTCCCTCATAATAAGAGAACCTGGGGTTATCCACCAAAGGGAAAGGGTGGGATAGTTTAGATAAGTGAAAAAGACCTTGCTCTTCATACTATATATTGTTAAACTGTGGAATTCACTACTACGGGATGTTGTAATGGCTCTCATTGTGGGCAGCTGTAGAAAAGAATAGACAAATTCATGCATTATAAGGCTATCAAGGAGTGTGAGTAGAAGGGTGCAGTTGTGTTCATGTTCTTCTGAAGGCTCCTCACAGGCACACTGGTTGACCACTGTGTGAACAGAATGCTGGACTAGCTAGCTATGCATTTTGCTAGATCGAGCATGACATTTCTTAAAATGCAACCCAAAAATTTAAGAAAAGCCAGAGAAAATAGATAAGTAAGTAGAACTCTTCTGGCAAAGAAAATCTCAAAGCTTTTGTTTCCACACAGGTAGCTGTTTCAGTCTGTAGTCTATTGCAGCAAAAACAACAGAGAGCTTTGTGACACCTTAAAGCAAGTTCCATCTGGTATAGTTTTTTGAGAACTGCAACCATTTCTTTTGATGCATGGTGGAGAGTCTAAAGGCTAATGGAGGTGCACTGAAATCCATGAAGCTCATGCCACATCAAACATGTAAAACTTTTTAAAGTGCTACAAGACTCTTTGTTGTTGCTGCTGTCCTTTTTTACAATTATTTTTAATGTTTTATTTTTTTCCTGTTATGACAGAAGCATGTGAGAGATGAAAAAGTAGGCATTGGATCTTTTTCATATTAGAGAGAAGAATGCCTGTCCAGTTAAGCACAGCCGACTGCTTTAGGCAACAAACGCATGGATGACATCTAACTTTCCCAGGAGATGTCACATTATGTTATGTTGTGCTAGCGCACAGGAGCAGCTGATGTATTATATACCTTATATACCTTGATACACATGTTCATCATAGGTACACCAGTCACTTCTCCCCATGAAATCTACAAGTCTGAACAACCTAGTATGTATAGCCCAGTGTACAGATTTCCCAGTGTCAAACGAATACACTCATCCTTTGACTAGCTTATGTCAAAATCTTGTTACATTTCTTTTTCTACCTTGTGCACATGATAGATTTCTCTGTCTTTCTTAGGTTAACTTGAGTAACAATAATATTGGGGTAACTTTCCAGATTACAAAACAAATGGTCATTGTATCTCTGGCTGATAGTCTTCCAAGCACACAGTGTTTCAGTGAACTGGCCTGTCACATTGTTCATAGCTGGCAAGGGAGCAGTTTCTTTGGAGAAGGTTGTGTAAGATGCTTTTATATCTTCCAGACAGAAGAGAACTTGACAACAAGGATGGATGGGGATTGTGGCAGTGAAGGGCATTCAAAAGCTGCATCAGCAAGTGAACAGAGTCTTGAAGTAAGTAATTTTCAGAGTAGTAGCCATGTTAATCTGTGCAAGTATATCAACAAGAAACAAAACAAAACAACACCTTAAAAATTAACTGCTATATTTTAATGTGAATTTTTGTGGAACAAGTCTCACTCTTAGGTTTGAGGAAATGGACTTGCTCCACGAAAGCTCACATTAAAATATAGCAGTTTGTCTTTAAGGTGTCACAATGTTTTTCTCCTCTTCCACCTCCTCTTTTGCTTGTTTTGTTTTTTTGTTGAAGTACTAACCTGACCTCTAGGTGGTGCTGCAGTACAAAAGAATTCTTGTTTTCTTGTAATTTACGGGATCATTCCTTGAAGTGGAAAAAGACCTTAATCTTCTAGTTGTGGAACTGCCTTCTACAATATATCTGATATGAAAGAAATTAAAACAAAGTAATCCACAGGACAGAAAAAGAAAAAAAGTTATATTCCGTTCTAGTAACTTAAAAGAAGAATGCACTCAGACACCTAAGGTAGTGAGTTAATTTTGTACTATAAAGATATATGAAACCATGCAAGGTACATTCAGTAAAATAAATCACACCAATTCCCAAAGTTTAAAAAATACATGAAAAATTTACTTTAAAAAAAGAAGGAACTATTTTTTAAACATTGTTTTTATTAATTTTCATAGGGAGAGGGATTATGGTACAAACAGGGGGACCAGGTAAGGTGGGGGGAAGAGGGAGCCATATTAATTTGTCTCAGCATTTTATCAAAATAAAAGGGGGAAAAGAAAAAAAGAGCAAAGTGGTCCTTAGAAAACTAACAGATTTTTTCAGTATGAACTTCTGTAGATCAAAGCCCACTTCTTCCCTTTAATGTTACCAACTGTTCAGTTTAACTTTTGTTTTAGGAGCTTTCCATGTTCACTCAAGCTCAAACATATCAAGAAATTGCAGCTGTTAACGACCACATTCTTAACAGGCACATTACATGCATGTATATGCTGACATTAGCATCATTTTGGTGCTCAGTCAACACATACATACATATTAGAGTCTTTGAGGGCTGAGTATTGTGGCCTGCACAGGTTTTAGTGTTGTGGTTCTAATATTTCAGCATTTTAATTTTTTGTTGTTTGGTTTTAAATTGTTTTATACAGTTTTGTAACTCACCCTGAGATCCTGTGATATAGAACTGGCTATAAGTGGTCAAATGAATGAATGCTGACTCATCAAATCCCCATTAATTCAATGGGACTAGTTGTGGATTACCTAGTTGTGAATAGATTTTAGTCAAGGCATAGAATCTACTTCCAGTGTTTAATCCACTTCATTTTTTAATATAATGATGGATTGTGCTTCATCTAATTTAGGGCTGTCTAACATGAAAATATGTGACTGTATATAAGATTAATGGGAGATTTCAGTCCAGGAAGACAATATGGCACCAACTTTCATTTGACTGATTAAAATTCAAAATCACTTGGATTTCAAGATATATTGTAGTAATTTACCCATGTTAGTTTGGCTGAGCATGTTGGCTAATGCAGTAGAGAGAAGGAGAAAAAAAATATCCAAAATCATACTAGAATTAAAAAGATAAACAATTTTGACTAGGACAGGTAGGTGCTGGAGACCAACAACATGAAGGGCCACAACTAGAATTTAAAAGATAAACAATTTTGACTAGGACAGGTAGGTGCTGGAGACCAACAACATGGAGGGCCACAACTTACCTACTTCTGTTTTGGAGCCTGGTTTAACCAGGACCTCCGGGCAAAGAAGCGGGTCAGGAGACGGCTAGAGTGCAAATGGAGAAGGGCCCCGACGGATTTTAACAGGATAGCTGTCAGGGTCGCTACTAACCTTTATCTTGCTAAGGTAAAGGCTGCTAGTATGCTGGAGACCAACAACATGAAGGGCCACAACTAGAATTTAAAAGATAAACAATTTTGACTAGGACAGGTAGGTGCTGGAGACCAAGAACATGGAGGGCCACAACTTACCTACTTCTGTTTTGGAGCCTGCCCATATATGAAGAAATCAGAATATTCCAGCATTTGAAAATGAGATCCCCTCAGGTATGCAGATTTTGTCTGTACTGTGGGCCCCCCTCTCTGTGGAATCACTATCCACAGGTACACTTATCTACTGGCTGAAAATACTAAATAAACCCCCCCAGAAATAGCTATTTATATGTATTTCCAGGGTGTATTTACCAGAACTAGTCATTAGAGGGAGCCAGAGACTATGCAATGTATAGCACTTGATACTTCTGTGTTTTGCTGCATCTTCAGAGGGGCTCCAAACCGATCTCCTGTGGATACTGCACTTGGTCTAAAAAGCAAGCCAGAATAAAACACAAAAGCTTCCACTTGATGCCTCTTTCTTCAGATAAGTTAGCCGTGCTTTACTGAAATCAGTAGAACAAATTAATGATCATGACTAATTTATGTCCGATTGATTTCAGTGAGACTGAAGCATGACTACTTCAGTTGGCACCTACAGTAAATCAGTTTGGCCTGAAGATATAACCACCAGGTCAATCACTAAATGTTCTTTTGCTCATGGAGCATGGCACGTTAGGTGCAACTTGTGGTATTCAGGAGTACTGTATATTCAGTCTTCTGAGTATACTCACAACGTGGGCCTCCAGATGTTCTTGGACTTCAGCTCCCAGAAATCATGGCCAGCAGAGCTGGTGGTGAAGGCTTCTGGAAGTTGTAGTCCAAGAACATCTGGAGGCCCAAGGTTGGGGACCACTGTTGGAGACTACAGGAAAAAAAATTGTACAAATATGTCTGAAGTTCACAATTAGGAAACATGTTAATTCTGTGCCTGTTACCCATGCCTGTAATATTGATTTCACTCAAGAAGAATTTTAATTTCTCTAGACCCTGTGGAATATATGTGTGTGTGTTTGTGTGTGCGCGCGCAAACATGCAGGTCACCTTGATAAACAGCAGTGACCATTGTTATTCTTCTTACTTAATCTCTCAGTAGCTTTTGATTCCATTTACCATCCCTTCCATCTGAAAGATTGCGCTGTACTTTACTGGTTGCACTCCAGCCTACTGGGCTAGTTCCATAGATATATATTAGGAGACTTTCTTGCCACCGAGCATAGTTACATTATTGAAATTAATCAGGTGAGGGATCGGGGGTTTGAATTGAGTTTAAAGTTATGGTTGTTGAGTCAGTGTGTGCATCCTCTTGGGAAAACTTTTAATCCATTTTAAAACTGTGTTGCATAACAATTGAGAGCATCTCCGTGAGTCAGGAGCCACTCCACTGTTTGTAGGACACATTGGTCAGCTGTTTGGTAGAGCAGTTTACATCAACAGAAGCATTCACAGATGCCAAAATGATTGAAAATAAATTGATCTGATATCCAAGTTAAAATAAATGACCCTCTGGCAGAAGAGTATTTTATGTTGCTTCTAATCAAAGTAACATGATTCCCTTTCTAAACAATCTGCACTTCCATGTGTGTCATCTAGTCACCTTTTAAAAATTGATTTAAAAAATACTAAATCTGATTCAAACATGGTTTATTTCCGAATGTAACGATACTCATCTTACTATCTTATCCTCAGGGCTGTTTAATATTTGTGTGAAGCAGTTGTAAGTAATCACCAAAAGGTTTACAGCAAAATGTCAGCATGTTAATGACACCCAGCTTCATTTCTCTGTCACATTTCAGTTGGGTTTAGCCATGTTTAGCCTTAAGGAAAATACGTTTTTCAACAGATCCAGGTTTCAGGCATGAGTAGTATGGACTGACAATGTCCCTTTCCATAGAGAACACTCTCATACTAGTTAGAGGGCAAGACAGCAGTCCTATTGGCCAGACCTCTCCAGACATACACTTTCTGGGCCCAGTAAGACAAGAGATCGGTTTCTTTTGTTTTGCAGGGCTCCTGCCTCTGCCATGTCCTTTCTCTGCAGTGGTGTCTCTTGAGGATACATCACTGCCATGCTTGTCAAGACAGTGTCCCAGAAAGCTTGTCTTGTTGTTGCAGGACTTGGGCTCTAGCATATGGCTGCTAGTACTTCTTGTTGGATTGCTATAAATATTTCTAGTTTCTTCCTGCTCTGTGTAACTCCTCAGTGCTAGCTGGAGCTCCATCACTATCTGCTCTGCATATGATGGAAAGTTGGCTGGCATTGCCTCCCCTGCTGCTTATTATGCATTGCTCACTGTTTAATTTGGGGCCCAGGAGGTCTGGAAGAGTGTAGTCATCCTTCTTTCACGAGGCAAACCTGTAGTGAAGCATATCCTGCTGGCCAGGGCTACCACTTCAAGCTGGAAAAAATGTTATCCTTATATGGAATCTCCCCATCCACCTACACTGTCCCCTCATTATGCCTGCCATCATACCAACCAAACCCTGGAACATTTGGCTCACCTGATTAAGGATTAATGTTTCCCCACTAACGATCTGTGTTGCACTCTCAAAGCTTTAGAAGACAGATACCACTTGTAACGTCCCACTCTCTTCTGCCTAGAGGAGCAGACACACCAAGGGAGGTCTCCAGTGCCAAATTGTGGCATGCCCTTTGCTGTTCCGGCATGCTTTCAAGCACATAGAAAGTGGGGTTCTGTTGAGCTGCCACATCCTGGATCAGGTAGTGCAGTGGCAATACCATTCCCCCCCCTTCTTTTGCTGCAACAGCTCATTGCTTTGGACGCTATAGCTCATTGCTTTGGAAACTATAGTGAAAATGCTCTGCCATCTTTCTGCTGCACTTAGTTGTATTAGGTATGCATGCATCTTCCATACCCTGAGAAGCACCCTGAAGAACTAGGTTGAGAGTATTGGCCATACACCGCATCCCTTTCACCTTTCATGCTTTTCTGCATGGGAGAGATTTGCTGGGAATGGGGGTGGAAATAGACCTTCCTTGAATTTGATGGAGTTGCATGGGATGGATATTGAAGGCAATGTCTGGTGAAATCTCTTTTGCAAACAGAAAAGCTGTAGCACTGCTGGTGCCCAAGCTGACAGCATCAGTTTGATTGCCAATGTCATCTTTA